CGCGCGCTTTTTTTTTTTTTCCCCTTTGCAGTTCGCCTTTCTCAATAAGGTAGCTTTATTTAAACACAAGAGCACGAACAACGGACACGGGAGGGAAGTCTGGACCGGAAAAAAAGAAAAAGGCGGAGCAAGGCTTGAGCCGGCTTGGGGAAGTCCTACCACTACTCTGGACGTTATCGAGTTCAGCTTCCCTGGTCCTTTTTTCTTTTCTTTTTATCGTGATTTATACGAAATCTACAGGACGTATTGTTTTTCCATTCATCCATTAATACGCTTTGTACCAGGCTGGTTTTGTGGCTTTGATTTTATGATTCGCCTTGCTTTGTGTCTCTTTGCTTTTAAATCTCTTCCTAAATCCTCAACTAATTTAGCCGCGGTAACTGTTCCAGCAAAGCCATTCTTTCCTGGAAAAACGTATTGATGCTTCATGGAGAGGAAGGAGCTTTAGAATGGGCAAGACGACCTGAGTTCAAATTTTAACCCAGCTGCCAGTAATAATTTGTGACTTTGGGCAAACCCCAACTTTTCTGGGAACCTCCATTTCCTTCGAGTTTGTTTGTTTTTAATAAATAACTAACTCAACCTCGCTCCCATCAGGTGAGTTGTTAAAAAATCAAGGGTGGGGGAAAAAAATAAAAATTAAATAAATAAATCAAGGGTGGGAGACCCCATCACAGCCCTGATCCAATGTAGGGGAGGTTTCCGAGAGGTGTGACCTGCACTTCATGTCGCATTGCCATTAAGTCGTTCTACCCTGCAGAGTAGAACTCTGCCCTGTGTGTGTTTTTAAGACTGTAAATCTTTAGGGGGCGAGAAAGAAAACTCCATCGTTCTCCCATGGAGTGGCTAGTGGTTTTGAACTGTTGACCTAAAGGTTAGCAGCCAATGAGTAACCCACTAAGCCACCGGGCCTCATTCATGCAGACAGCCCATCAGTACTAATGATTATATGATTTGTATCTTAAGTGACTTTAATGGTAGCAATTGTACAATACTGCTTGATGTGACTGAACTATGGAATGATGTGATATCTGTATTAACTCACATGAATAAGTTAAGTGACTTATTAACCTTCACCCATACCCAGTCTCCTAGGATCCTATCTTTCGCTGACTGAAACTAGTCAGATAAACCAATTTATATTAAAATTGACAATGAAGTATTTATCCCACCTTCCATTTTGAACTTGAAATAACATCCCTGTTTAACGAGACCTTCACTGCCTCCATCTTTGTGTAAAACCAGATAGCTTCTAGAGGTTTAGGAAACTTCCAGTTACGTATTTGTGACATCACAAGTCTTTGGAACAGTGAGGGACTGGGGTAGCTTCCCAGTTTCCTCTCCTGTAAGGGCATGCAATGGAAGGACTACTTTACCCAGGAAGCTCAGGGCTATATTCTAAGGATAGCCCTGTGAAAGACCAACATCAGATATTGGTGAACATCGAGGTAACCCTGGATCAAAACTTCTCTTATCTTGACGCTGACATTGTGGACTAGACTTTGTGGTTGTTGTTTGTTATGAGGGGCTGTCTCTTGTGCCTTCTAGGATGTGAAGCAGCAGCATCCCTGGCCATGTGATACAAGTAGTTTTCCCCTTTCCCAAATTGTGACAATCAAAAATGTCTTTGGACCTGGCCAAATGTCTTTTGGTGCAAAAGAGTCTCAGGTTGAGAACTATTGCCCTAGATAAAAGCAAAAGTTGTCGTCGTTGAAAGGGCAGGGTAATAATGAAAGGATCGCTTCGTAGGCTATGTTTTTTTCTGTCACTAATTCATTTCACCTCTACCCTTATTTTTTACTGCCTAGACTATATGGGGCGTCTTATGTTAGAGGTTAGGACTTAAATGGAAATTGAAACCCTTAAAATTTTTATGCCACTTATAAGAGCCAGATATTTCGCGTTTAGTTTGTTTGTTTTGGTATGTTTTTCTGTATATGAAATCCAGGATAGGTAAATTTGTAGAGATAGTAACTGGAATAATGGTTTCTTTGGGGTTGAGGAGCTAATCAATGAGTACAAGAAGAAGAAAATGTTCTAAAATTGTAGTAATGATTGTGCAACTCTTTTTGATGTGATTGAACTATTGAATTGAATGATATATGGATTATGTGCCAATAAAACTGTTGTTGTTTTTAAGAGCCAATATAGCCTTAAAATACATCAGGCCGGTCTCTAGAGTTTGTCAATTTATAAATTAAACTTCTTCTGCCTGAAAATCTTTCCATACTCCACTCCCCTCTCACTGACAGATGGGGTAAGTGGGCAGCTTGACTAGGATGCTTTTTACATTGTGTCTTTTCTGTCCCTAATTCACTTCAATTGAATGTACATCTATTTCTGCCTTATCATCTTGGATGTCTCCGATATCTATGTGAATGACCAAACCAAGAGTTAAATCTCTAAATTCCTCCAAAGTCACTAATGCGACTTATTATTCAAATACCCGCCTTCCAGTTTTGGCCAACCACAAACCCCATGACTTTCTTTGACATTATCAAGAGTTCCAATTCATTGGTTTCCTACTCTTATCTCCTAATGCATTGCATTAGATAAATCTGATGCACAAGACCTCTTTAAAGTGTTGAAAAGCAAGGAGGTTACTTGACGTCTAAGGCGTGCCGGACCCAAGCCATGGTATTCTCAATCACCTTATATGCATGTGAAAGTTGGACATTGAATCAGGAAAACTGAAGAAAAATCTATATATTTGAATGATGGTGTTGGTCAAGAATATTGAAAGTGTCGTGGACCACCAAATGAACAAACAAATCTGTCTTGGAAGAAGTACAGCCAGAGTGCTCCTTATGATGGTGAGACTTGGTCTCATATTATTTTGGACATATTATCAGGAGAGACCAGTCCCTGGAGAAGGACATCAAGTTTAGTAAAGTGGTGGGGCAGAGAAAAATAGGAAGGTGATGGCTGCAACAATGGGCTCAAACATAAGAACAATTGTGAGGATGGTGCAGGGTGGTGTTTTGTTCTGTTGCACACAGGGTCGCTATGAATCAGAACTGACTTGATGGTGCCTAACAACAACAATCTCCTAATTCTTCAGCCCTCTCCAGATTTCTGGCTTGAAGTCCATGGACTGCACCCTCCATAACATTTTTACTAATACCCTGAACTCCCTCTAGCATTTTTACTTTACCTCCTATTCCTCAGCTTGAGTACTATTGACATTTTGGACCAGAGAATTCTTTGTTTTTAGCATCACCCTTGGCCAAGAGATGCCATTAATACACTCCCTGTCATCATGACCATCAAAAATGTCTACTACAAAATGGGTGCATAAGCAACTGTGGTGAAGAAAGCTGATGGTGCCCAGCTATTAAATTAAATAATGTCTGGGGTCTTAAAGGCTTGTAGTCAAACAGGCAGCCATCGAGCAGGGAAGCAACAAAGCCCACATGAAAGAATCACACCAGCTGTGTGATCATGAGGTGTCAATGGGAAGAGGTATCAGAAGTCCAAAAATAAGCAATCAAATTGATGTGAAGGAGCACAGACAAAGTGGAGACCCCAAACCCACCTGTAAGATAATTGGACAGCCCCTCACAGAAGGGCCACATGGAAGGAATAGATGCTATACGCAGGGTTCAGAATAGCACTGATGAAACGCATAAATATCCTCTATTTTTAAAAAATTTCCTCCCCTTATTATTATGGTCTTAGTTTTACCTCATTAATCTTGTAGACCTGCATATGCTCATTTGTATAACTGAGATTGTTAGATGCATACAATCCTAGATAGATAAACCCTTTAAAAACAGTAACAGGAGTAATGATTCCCTGAGGGTATGGGAAGAGAGGAGGGGAAGGGAGGGAAGGGAGAACTGATAGCAATGATGACTGTATAACCACACTCCAGGGGAATGAATAACAGAATTGTGGGTGAACAGATACATTGGAAGGTGTAAGATACAGCTATAATAATGATAAGGGTTCCTGGGGGGTAAGGTGGGGGAGGGAGGCGATAAAGGGGAGATGATATCAAAGAGTTGAAGAACAAAGAAAATGTTTTGAAACTGATGGTGGCAGCAATTGTACAATTGTGCTTGATCTAATTGAATTATGGGTTGTTGTATCTGTAAGAGCTCCCAATAAAATGTTTTGGTTTTTTAAAAAATGTCTACCAGACTAAAATCCACCACCATGGAATCAGTTCTGACTCAGAATGTCTACAGACAAAGCTAAATGTCCCTGGAGGAGTAGGGGTGAGAGTGGGTCACGATTGCCCCTGGCTGAGAACCATGGTCTTGTGCCAATAACCATCCCAACCCTAGATGACCTCAGAAATTGTTTACTGCTAGAGAACACCACCCAGGAAAGCAGATGGACAAGTTCACTTGCATCAATCTTAAACAGGCCCTGAATGTACTAGTTCTGCTCCTTTTCGCTGGTCAACTTGACCGATCACATTTTACAACACACACGCCACATCTTCCCCACCTGTCTGAAAACTCTGAGTACTACCTCCTCTTCTCTTAGCCGATGACCTCATTTCCGGTTGCACAGAGAAAACAGAGGGCATCAGATAAGCATTTCTTCAACTTCCTGTTACTTAAAACAGCCGAACTTACAAACAGCAACACCCACTTCCTTTTATTATAACTGGAAAAGGGTTATAGATTGAATTGTTTCCCAGAAAAATATGTGTGGTAAATCCTAAGTTTTATACCTGTGGTTATAATCTTATTTGTAACTGGTTTATCTTTGTAATGCTAATAAGACAGGATAAATGTCAGGTGTAGGAAGCAGGATTACTGTCAACCTCTCCTGAGATATTAAAGAGATTAAGTGCAAGCTAGTAGAGAGCTGGGGGCAGAGAGTTGTCAAATCACAGCAAGATTTCCCAGGAGC